GAGATTACATGTATCTACTCATGGACTCGGTTCTTTGTTTCACTAGATTTGCATCATTTTATGGTGTATGGTGACGAAGAAACCGATATCTTCTTTCATCCATGCATGAATTATTTTTGGGGCATATTTGGATTAATGACTAATTTTCTATATGCGTTAATCTGAGCTGTTATTTCTATCTGTTTGCGCATTTTCGGCCTTTTTAACAATGTGGACTTGTATTTTACTTGTCTTGTGCAGTGTTGCAATCTGAGATGGATTTTTCTGAGTCCACAAAAGTTGTGTACAATAGGATCCAGAAGATAGAGCCTGAAAATGTGTCCAAGATTATCGGTTATCTTCTGTTGCAAGACCATGGCGAGCGTGACATGATCCGACTAGCTTTCAGCCCTGATAATTTGATCCAGTCTCTGATTAACAAAGCGAAAGCTGAGCTCGGGTTATGCAAACTGGCAGTGTCTCCTTCAATCTCACCTCAGATGAACCAAGGTCCTGTTTCCGACCTGCCTTTACAATTCACCCCATACAGTCCACGACCGGTTTCATCTCCCGTGACCATTGGGGCAGCAAATCCATATAGGGAACTGTCTGATGATCAGCAACCACTGCAAGCCGTAGAGTTTGCTTCATCAGGGTACTCAGATTCAGTGATTGAAAATTATCAACTCCAAAATCGAATGCAGTTTCTGCCTGAGTTTTCAAGCAATTACTGTTATCATGAACCTGCATTGAGTATGAGAACCACTCGAAGGTCTCCAAGCTTGCCTGAATTTCCTGTTAAGGTTTGCCATTACTTCAATAAGGGGTTCTGTAAGCATGGAAGCAACTGCCGGTACTTCCATGGGCATCCCATGCCAGAAAGCTTTTCTCAGTTTTTCAGCCAAAACTCGAATGAGCTTTCAAATGATGATCACGTTGTCTCCCCTGGCTCCCTTGAAAAGCTAAAGATGGAAATAATTGAGCTTTTGAAATCTAGGAGAGGGTTCCCGATATCAATTGCCTCTTTGCCGATGACGTACTATGAGAAATATGGGAGGACTCTTCAAGCTGAGGGATACCTCACAGAGAGCCAGAGACATGGTAAAGCTGGCTACAGCCTGACCAAGCTTCTTGCTCGATTGAAGAACAGCATTCGCCTTATTGACAGGTAACTATTTGTTAATTGCTAAAGTTTTTTTTTACATCATTTTTTGCTTGCTAGAAGTGCTTGACTCGAGTGGTTCTGCAGGCCTCACGGACAGCACTCAGTTATATTGGCAGAAGATATCCCAAAATATTTAGAGTATACTGGTGAGAAAACTGAACCTGGTGGCAGTGTTGCTGGTTCTCGACAGATATATCTTACCTTTCCAGCCGAGAGTAATTTCACGGAGCAAGATGTTTCCAACTACTTCAAGTAAGGCGACCAAGAAATTCTCCCTTTCACTTTCTTAAGGAACTGTTCATTTGAATTCACTTATAGTTTGGATATTGGTGTACAAACATTTGATTGATTTTTAATTTTATCTGTATTTTGTAGCAAATATGGGCTAGTTCAAGATGTACGCATCCCATGTCAACAAAAGAGGATGTTTGGTTTTGTCACCTTTGTTTATGCAGAGACGGTGAGGCAGATTTTGTCAAAAGGGAATCCTCATTTTGTATGCGGGGCTCGTGTGCTAGTGAAACCTTACAGGGAAAAGTCTAGGCTTGTTGACTGGTAAAACATTTTTATTTGTTCAAATTATCGTCTGTACTTCCAAACCAATGAACATCTCTGATCTTTATATCTACTCGTGGTTACAGTTACGTAAGTCTTGACGTTGTCGTGGTCTCCATTGAACTTAGCCTCTGATTTTATTCTTTTTTTGCGTTATAGTGTGACTGATGCATTGTATTGTATAAGACTCTTCTTCATATGCAGCCTAGCTTCCTGCTCGCAAATATTTTGGAAGTGGTTATGTTAATATCTAAATTATCCGCTTATGTGTTCCATGTCGTCTGCTCTATGGTTTTCTGCTAGTATTTAAACTTTTGAAATTTATGTCATCGCACAGGAAGCATTCGGATACGATGCAGCATTCCATGTGCTACCATTCACATTTAATGGATGGAGATTCGGAGCTTCAAGCAAGTAAGCAAATTCTTCAAATAAATGCAAGAACTATCTATTTTAATGAAATAACCCATTAACTAATATAATCGAGTTGGCGTTTACAACAGTGCCCAGAGTTTGCGATAGCGCAAGATTTCTAAGGAAGCAGTTCATAGAGGAAAATGAGCAAGCACTCGAACTTGAGAGAAGGCGTCTCTCGGAGATGAATTTAGCAGTTAAGCCGTTGTCCCATCATTTCTATCATGGCTACTCGATAGATGACTTCAAGCATCCAGAAGGTATGTCAAATGCAACTTCGCAGAGCTTATTTCTTGTTTCCTTTTGCACATTTTCGAGCTAATATTTTTTTTCTTTCTTCCATTCGGCACTATAGCCCATGTAGAGCAAGCTGAGTTCCCATCCACCGAGGAATTTGACTATTTTCTGGATGTTTTGAATAATGGTTCCACCAGTGATGACAAAATCAGTCACATTAACACTAATTACAATGATCAAGATAGGTACACACACCGTTGCTCGTTCACATTGAACTCATTGTACTTTTACCAATTTCTTTTTCATCTCGATTATTTTCTGAACATTCTCTTTCCCGTTTATACTTGGTTTCATATACCATGCAGCAGTCAAGGAATTAACCTTCCAGAGAGCCCATTCGCGACTCAAATGGCGAGTGGCATATCAACAGTTACATAGGGGATTCAAACAAACAGTAAATTATAGAGAGGTAGAGGACTGGATTCATAGACTAAGTCTAATTGGTTTCGATACAGCAGGAGAGACCTTCACCTTCTTCTATTTTCATTTCATTTTTACCTCAACTTCATTGGTCTGTCAGCTAAGTAGAGAGAGAGAGAGAGAGAGAGAGAGAGTGAGTTCATACCAACTGAAGAAGAAGGGAGAGACACAGTAGACAAGTTATGTTCTTCCCCAATGTTACACTGGGCGAAGGAGATTGCAAAGAAGAAAAGACAGAAAAGCTAATTTGTGACAGGTTTTTTAAGCTTTTTCCTTTTTTGTTTTAGTATAATCACAGAGGATGCAGCAAGGAAGAGGTGGGTTTTTAGAAGTGACTGAGATATAGGTTGGTTTACTTGAAGAAGAAGAAAGTAGTAGTAAAGATATGCATGTATGCAGAGTAAAGAAGGAAAGGTGTGGAGATCTCTGCAGCATAAACAAATTCTAATAATTTATACAAAGTTTCTATTTACCTCGCTGCATATGTTTCAAAATTCCATGCACTATATGGATGATAAGATTTATACATGTAGAATGTTTCTACAGTGCGGTTTAATCACACATTTTTAAAATGCAGATATGTAGTCGATGTTGATATTGTTAATACTTTGACCTTATAGGAAGGTTAACCGCACTGTAGAAGTACGATATATATTAAAAAAATTGTTCATAATTTTAATTTTGTTTGGGGTGAAGGGTAGGCCATGTTTATACCCATAATTAGGGGAATCAAAAGGTGGCATAATTAATTATATATTATGGTATTTTTGAGCTTAATGGTTCTTGCATCATTTTGTTTTTCCTGCAATTAGTATAACCATTTTCTTCAGAAGAAACATCTCTGTCTTTGTGCAGTTGTTGTAAAGCAATGGAGTTTATTGGGAAATTAAGCTTTTGTTAATGATCATTAAGCTTTTTTAATGAGAGATTAGGGTTTTAAAATTGCATGTCCTAAAAGTGAAGGAATGTGGCCTTTCTCTTTCTTTCTGGCTTGAAGACAGAAATGGGACCTGGTTTTGATTTGTTTGAGATTTGTAGGACCCTATAGTTATATGACCCTTCATTGTTGAGCTAGGGCACCAAAAGATATTGAGCTGTAAATTTGATATTTTCATGTAATATACAGCTAATATTCATAAATCTCTAAACTCCAAAAGTGCTTATAAATCCCTAGTGAAACAAAATTTCAAGGATGTTAAAAGATGTGTAGCAGCAACTTGCAAGTGACAGCATATCACCTCCTCTTCACAATGAAAATGAGGGGATTTTTTATGGTGCTCTAGAGTATGAGATATATCGGACTTTTTAATCGTTAGAAATTTGGTCAAAACACAAAAATCAATATCTAACAGTTCATAACTTGGTGTATTTCATACACCGGAGCACCCTAGAACGGATAACTTCCAAAATTGACTTTTCCTCAACAAGTTGCCTGTAACTCAAATGGAGTGTTCACCGTTACACTTGATGTTATGTGCTCGAATCTCCCTTCTCACGACAATAAGGATGTTCGTGACTTGGCACATTAAATTCCAAAGGTGGTCCATAAGGTAAGCCAAGACAAATTAAGTATTTTGGGTGGCACTGATTATTTTGTCACATGATTGTGCCTGCTTATGGGGAAACAATGACATTGAAACTACCAGATTGGGGAAATCAGAGAATTTGTTAGTGAACAAGAAAGCAGTCACGGCACTTCGTCTACCGTCAACTTTCTGCTCTTCTTCTCATCTTCTACTTTGTTCTTCCAAAGCTTTCTGTAAATCGGGAAAATGGAACAGAAAATTGTGCACACCAATGGCCCGACGTTACAAAACATAAGGTGCTTTATCCTTTTTTTTTTCCTCAACAGGATGGATGATTCGAATTTAAGATATCTTTTAATATCGAAAAAAAAAAGTTCCATGTTTGAACATATCCATGGATATAAAATTTGTTAATCTGCGTGCTTAAGGCTAGAAAATTACTGTAGAGTAGAAACCACACAGTAAAACAAAAGAAACTAGCAAGAGGTTTTCTTATAGGTACTTTCATGCAACAGAGGTGCCACTGTTTGAAAATTATAATGCATGACAGAGCGTGATTGACCTGATATGCTGTCACGATACCATTTTGCGTGGATTTTTAAGCTTAATACCTACGTATTATCTAATTTGTATAGACCAATAAATGGAAAGAATTATACACGTACATGCAAAGGAACATAAAATACCACCGAGTAGCACAATCAGTACATTGATATACATGATACATCATTAGGCAATTACTTAGTCCTAGCCTTCTAGGGCAACTTTGAAATTCAAGGAAGGTGCATTCGGATCTATGTGCAGGACCATCATAGATTGTGAATCCAACAACATAAGTTGTACAGGGATCCATAGAAGTTGGAGTTCTTAAAATAGCAAGCTGCCCCAAGCAGCGATGAAAGCAAAGCCACCGAAAGGAGCCAACGTAGAGTACTTTCTATCCTCGAGTAATGCCACAGTATAACACCTGCAAAAATCACATTATTTCAATCAGCATTAACCTCTAAGAATGTGAATACAGTGTAAGAACTTCCATGAATATTGTTTCCTCAGAGAAAACAGCCGGAAAATGTCCCCCAGAATGATGCATAGACTCCGTACTCAAGGCAATAGCCTCAATGTGCAGTTTTCCAAATGCAAAGCCTTGAGAACCTAGCAAACAAGGATTTGTGGAGTCCAGAAGCGAGATATCGACACCCTACAGATTGTTAGAATTGCAATATGCATGTACTGTAACTGTGCCAATTAACAGTTTAATACATTTATCCGTCTAGAACCCCTGTAACTCTAGGGTATAGGATTATGCCATACCGACAAACTAAAATGATTCGAACTCTTGCATGAATCATACAAAAAGGGCAACTTCATTGGAAGTGATATTAAGTTCTGTGATCTCAATTGCATCCTAACAAATAACAATGTAAGTGCTCTTACTAACAAATTCAGATTCAACTAGCTTCATTTTGCAAAGAAACTCAAATCGTGAATGGATCTTTTAACACGAAAACAAATTAAACCAGGTAATTGATTAAAAAAAAAAAAAAAAGGTGCAGAAGAATGACACTTACGTCCCGGAGAATGCGAGTATTCCAGCAGTCAAAAGGCCTCCAAACTGCAAAAAAAAGATGAAATTAGCGTATGTACTCACATACGAATTTGCGGACGAGTAACTGATTAACAAACATCACATAACACGAAGTTGAGCAAGCATCGCACATGCTCAAATGTCACGATTCAGACCTTCAGATCACGGTTTGAATTCAACTCAAAGTAAATTCACAAAGGTCTAAACATTTTAACTCACAATGGTGGGGTTCTTGGTGATAGGGGCAGCAAGAAGAGCTGCTGTGTGAACCAAATGGTAGAGAGAAGCTGTGTGCCAAACCTACCCATAATTTGCAACATAATTGAATCCCAGAAAACTTAAAACTTTCAGATAAACCATGAAAAACATGAGATAAAATCAAATGGGCAAAGATTAAAAATTAAAACAGATGCTGAACCTCTTTGTAAGTTGGGTTTTTGGGTTTGAAGACATGGGCGCCATATGTACCCAACCCAAGAGCTGCCATTCCTGTTTTCAATCAAATTCACGAATTGGGTTTTATCAGATTTGAATAATTTGATAAAAGGAGATTGATCTGATACAAATTTATACATACATATATACATGCAGTTACATACGTGATTTCACAGTGACCGTAATTCCAGAAAAAAAATTTAAGGGTAGATACCAGAGAGGGCGGCTACTTTGTGCCACAGTTGTGGATCCATTGTTGGGTTCGATTCTTCTTCTGTTGCTGGCTTCTCTTTCAGTGCCTCTCACTCACTTTCAGGCGGTGGTTGTGGAAAGAGGTGGACTTGTTAGTCTAAAGGAGGGGAATAGAATACCGAAGTTCCCGACCCGATCCGAAAATATCCTGAAGCCGAACCAAATATGTCCCGAACCATTCGATGCCTGATTCCAAAAAGTTCGGTACAGGATTTGGGATCCCATATCCTTTTGTTCGGTAATCCCAAACCGAACCGATAAATATTTTAATATGATTTTATATATAGCTGAATTAACAATAGCTATTAGATTAGGTTGAGATTGAATCTCAACGTTCGTAACCACATTAAGTGGCCTAGTAGTAAAGGAGCAGATTGCGACTCTCCAATAAACAAAAAAATGTGGGAGGTCTTAGGTTTGATGTTTCGAGTTGGTAAGTCTGCTTGATTGTGGCCACAGATAGGATGAAATTCCCTATAACATCTTTGTGCTTTGAAGGGGTGGATAATCGTGGTTTGCTACTAATTATCCATTTTTTTCAAATAAAAAAAAATCTCAATCGTTCGTACCTCACTTCCTCACAGACCCCTCATACTCTCAGCTCTCTCTCAACCTTTGAAGACAAGTCCAACACTCTCTACTCCCTCCAAAACCCCCAAAACCCTAAACCCCCAACCCTCCTCGTCTCCTTCTAGTGCCCAATCGTCGTCGAGAGATGTTGCGCTGTGGCCAAGTTGCTTACTTCTCACCAAATCGTCCCTTGGAGGTTCCTGATTCTAGATTCGGTTCAGACCCTAAACTTCCGCAACAAGCTCTTGAGGGACAAGGATGGGTTGGGTGTCGCGCGGTTGGCGGCGTGCAAAATCAAGAACATCAGGGTGGCGCTTTGCGCGATATGACGCAATTTGAAGCTTCGGTGTTGTCCCTCATCAAGTCCCACATCTTCCTTGCCATTGATTTTGAATTGAGCATTGATTCTAGTGGTGAGGATGATTGGTTTGGGTTTCGGTTCAGGATCCTAACCCGAACCAACCCTAGAATCTATGTCCCAAAACATAGTTGTTTTCAAATTTTTTTTTCTCTTTTCTTTTTTCTTTTGATAGTTGTGAAATTGGGATCAAGATCTTGTCCAAATTCTCTTCATGCAGACCATTCGGATCAAATAATCTCAGTCGTTCACGTAAAATAAATGCGGCTAAGATCACTCTTCCTCTTGTCTATCTGCATCTCTACCAGTTTTAGCTTTTTGGCTATGGCGTCTAAGTCTTAGTGAATTTTATACAGGTTCAAGTTGGCTCTGCTTCTTGTGGGGTTACAATGCTTATAACCCAAATCTTATGGGGTTACAATGCTTATAACCCAGATCGAGTTCATGGCGGAGATGAAGTGTTACGGCCTTGGTAAACAATTTGGTAGGTTTGTTTTCTATTTGCTAACGCCAAATAGTGAATAAAACAATCATAATCCTTGCACGTTCCCAGATCAGATCTCACACTCTCTCTCCACTCCACCCACACTTAATGATTCCTAACCATTGAATCACCACTACAAATTTTGCAAACCACCGACTCATCCCATGGCGATCCTACAAAAATTCAAGCTACCTTATTTTCACCTGCATGGATCGTCGTCGTTTATCTCGCTAGACTAATTTCTCATAATCTCCCCCATCGACGACGACAATCGTGGCTGTGAAAATGGTGGAGTAGGGTGGACTCTGAGAAAATGGTGGAGATGAAAGACGTGAAAATGAGAGATAAGAAGAAGAGTGATATCAGCCCCATAGGTGAATGACTAGGCTGGCCGACGGGCTCTGTGTAGGGATTCTGCGATAGAGCATTGAGTTGCAAGAGCTTGAATTTTTGCAAGATTGCCATGGGAAGCGGAGTCGGTGGTGTGCAAAATTCGTGGTGGATGATTCAGTGGCTATAAATCATTAAGTGATGGTGAAATAGAGAAAGAAGGTGAGATCTCATCTGGGGAGGGTGTGGGAGGGTTAGGATTGCTTTATTCACTGTTTGGAGTGAGCAAATGGAAACAAACTTACCTAATTGATCACCAAAACCTTAGTGCGTCTCTGCCATGAACTCGATGTGGGTTGTAAGCATTGGAACTCCAGAAGAAGCAGAGCCAGCTTGAACTTGTATATAATTCACTCAAACTTAGAGTCCATAGCTAAAAAGCTGAAAATGGTGGAGATGCAAATATAATGAAGGCGAGAGAAGAGGAAGAGGTGATCTCAGTTAGCAAGAATTCAGATTAAAAGTAAAAATTGCCCAATTAAATAACTGTTGATTTCCCAATCTGTCCTGAATAAGGTGTTACAACTCTCCTGGACAAGTCACAGGACAACCATGAGCGTAATCATGTAAAACAAATCAGTCATTAGACTCTGAAACTGTTGTCACAAGTTTTTACCGGGTAAACATAGCACCCCCTAAAATCATTTGAGGTTTATGTTGCTCTGGCCTCTTGCCAAAGGGTGACATATTTGTACAGTTAAAACCTACATTTTGTCTGAAGAATGCTACACCGAACAACTCCCGAGTAACTCTTGCTTTCCCGGTTTTAGCATGTTTTGCTTAAGCTTCGGTTTCCACCGCGGCGTGAAGAAGCTCGTCGGGAGTTGCAGCTGGATCAAGATCCCAGCACTTACCGGGCAGGTTACTCTCTTCTCCCTTGAGTAACCACGATGGCACCTGGTGCGAGAAGCGTAGCATCTCTCTTTTTGGAATCCATTGGATGGCCGCTTTGTCCGTATTGCTTTGGTATACTGTCTTGAATCCAGCCAGTTTCACAAGAGGGGATACGCAGACACCAAGATCTTCGGAGTAATCATCAAGAACTTCCACCATTATGTACTGGTGCCTCACTTCAGCTGGAGTCGATCTGTCCCAATTTTTTGACCAGTTTCGATACATAGCCCAAATGTCCCCGCTTCTGGGGTATATCCGAACACAGCCTCCTCTGCCTGCTTTCTCCCGGCTCAAAGCATGAGAGAAAATGTTAACATGCTCAATGACATCAAGATTCCGTGCCCTAAAATTTCCACAGGATTTGGTAAACCCACAATCTAGCCAGTTCACGGACCCGAATTCACTATCAGTTTTAGAGCCCAAGTAAGTGATGACTAACTTGAATGGTTTTAGCGAAACCACTTCACGAATCAGACAGTACAGGCGAGGCATACCATCTTCTTCATCATACAAAGCCCAAATTTGCTTTGGCTTGAAAGATTCCTCTGACCTATCCTTATCAAAATCATGGAAGTCGGGGTCAGGGACAGTTATGCAGAGGGGCTCAGTATTCTTTATCTCTAATTTCTGTGCTTGTGCAACTTCTGGTTGACGCACTTCAGCCTCTCTTTCTGTGTTCTTTACAGCAGCTGCTGCTTCTGATGCCAACTTAAACTCAGCCAATTTCTTCAAAATTTCAGTTCTTGCCTTTTCAAGCAACAACTTCTTCGTATCAAAAGCCGGTGCCATGGAGCAACGTCTAGTTGGAAGTTCCCTTGAACTAAGAATTTTCTGATCACTTCCAATACTCCCATTTCCATTGGCTAGTTTTGCTTCTAAAGCAGATTTTGATACTTTTTCATCAAGCCCATTTCTAAAACTCGCTCCCACAGTAAGTTTCCTTCTCTTATCCCGTCCATTGCTCTTAGATTCAGGTGGCTGATTACAGCTAGCAGGCACGGTCAGATCCACTTTAGCCACAACATTTGTAACAGAACGTTTTCCATTCACTCTTGATTTCACCTTCTCTCTAGCTTTCTTAACATTTCCATTTGACTGATAAACAGCATCAGGGGATATAGCCGATGACCCATGAAGAGCTGCAACACCAGCTGAGGTTCCAGAATATGAGTTCCACTGAAACGACATATTTGAAGTATATTCATACCCATGTCCAGAATGAAAACCTGAGATCCCATTTCCTGGGAAAAAGGTACCGTTGCTTGGAACATATGTAACCCCATCAAATCCATGATTCCCATACCCATTACTAGGCACATACGGCCAAGGACAAGGAGTATAAGGAAAAGAACCATTTGCTGGGGCTGCCCCAGATTCCACAGCAATGAAAATGCCTCGGCAGTTTTTACATGAAAGTCTTTTGTTCACATACTTGCGGAGATACTCATACTGAACCTTGCAAGAAGTGCAAACGGTCCAGAAAGTGTCAAGTCTACCATGAGATACTGATGAACTGGAACAATTGTTGAAACCTTGAACCCCACCAGCGTGAACTGAAGACAAATTGGGCTGATTACCTGTAGCTGCTAATTGTTTGTTTCTCTGAAGATCATACAACCTTCTCTTGGCAGTGTCGGACAACACAGTAACTGCTTCAGAAACAAGTTTGAAAGCCCCATCAGCTCCCACGCATTTGTTCTTATCAGGGTGGAGCAACACAGCCATCTTTTTGTACTGCTTCTTCACTGCATCTTTACTTGCAGAATGCTTCAGTCCAAGAATTTTATAATGATCCATTTCACCATAATATTTTGCCTCAGAAGCAACATAAACGTCAAATGTGGCTAGCATATGAGATATGCCCTCAAGTTCAGGGTACAGTGACTTAGCTTTTACTGCATAAGTGAGAGCACCTGTAAAATCTTTCTCAAAAAATCGCTTCTCAGCGGTCTCTTTCGCTTTAAGAGCCTCCTCTATGTTAACTTCCATGGAGGAATAGAGATCACTTAAAAACCAAAAATCTCGAAACAGAATCTACGACCAACACAATATGCTTAACTGTAGAAATAGCTGAATTCTCATATGTAACCACATTTTCATTCCTGCAAAGATAAAGTAAGAATGTTTATGAGTATCAAACGTCAATATTTTTTTCTATTAGCACTGTGACTGGCTAAGCCATTCAAATTTCTCTAATTAAGACTTATTAATAACCATAAATGCAGAATCATTTAGGAAAAAATAAATGCAGAATCATTTACCAAACTAAAACAAAATTCAAGTTCAAATCTCAACCAAGATTTGCATTCGAATTAAGTTTTTTCATCAATAAAGCTACTGTTTTGGTCTCAAATATAAAATATCAACCAAGAAGCAATGCCAATCAATTCAACACTAACCCAATTACCAAAACGGCTTATAATTGTCAAGATTTGACCTTTTTTCACAAACAAAAAAATGACGATCATGTAACATAAATGCAATAAAATCAAGATTAAATTTT